ATCCTTTCTCTGCCTTGCAGCTATATTTGCTGTGATCAGTGGGAATAAAGTAGTTTTAATATCTTTTTAAGTGAGAAAATCCACCTGAAAACTTAATCATTGCAGTCAGTTCATCCAGATTACAATCCTGCCTTCCAATATTATTTCTGTCGGAGCTTCTCTGACCCCCACATACCAGCAGAGCGCTGTCAGTAGGAATCCCATTCAACAGCAGCCTCTGGTCGGGTCGCCTCCTCACGGTTCACCGCAGCAGCTGGTAGGTGTTTTTCATCTAAATAATCCAAACTGCAGGCAGCAGGATAATAAAAGCGCACATATTCATTTCTGCATTTTAAGTTAATTTATGCGTCAATAAACTGTTTCAGAGGAGTGATCACAGCACTCTGATCATCAGCGCTGTGTCTGTCTCACAGCCAGCTACCAGGTTTGATTAATACTTATAAATACATGAATAAAGCACAAACATACTCAGTTTTGCTCCCGCTCTATTTTTAAATACGCAGTAGAGCTATTTAAAGGTAGTAGAGGACATTTACCTGTATATAAAACCCGCACCCTATAGTCCGGTGCGCCTCATGTGTGTGTTAAATACAGAAATGGCACACAGAACTGAGACTGCGCATTTTAGTACGGTGCGCTTATGGTCGTGAAAGTACGGCAGTTGTCTTCGGGTACATGTTCGCATTTGCTCAATGAGTTCACCGTCAATTTGCTTCTACACTATACCGCTCTGAGAGTAGAAGGGTATGGCAAAGGGAGGGACTAAGGTGACGGCGTCAGCTGCTCCCATGGAGGTACATGCAGGTGTTTATAAATAAAGAGACTGGAGAACAACACAGAGAGATGGTGATTAATGTCACACCATGTTTTATCTAAAATATACCTCTAGTTAGGGTCACTATGATTGTTTTTAGTTCTTCCTATCTTAAGTCATTCTTTATAATAATATTATATTTGTAAAACAGTTGTTTAATGAGAATAATCAACTGTTTAATTATGGTGAATTTCTTTATAAATATAATTTCCTTGTGACACCGAAAGAATTTGCGGTTGTTTTCAGCGCTATTCGAGCAGGTTTGAAATTTCTTATATCAACCTCAGGTAGCGCCCCTGTCCAATATCCCCAATTTCCAGAGTTATTTATTGGTAATTCAGATCCGTTTTTAGCAATAAAACTGGAAATATACAAATGAGAGAAATCATCCAGAGGAATACTATTAGCAAACCTGCATCTATCTTCTTTTGGAATAATCTTTATTCAGATATTGATTGGGAACATACACTCACTGGCCACTTTATTAGGTACACCTGTCCAACTGCTCGTTAACACTTAATTTCTAAGCAGCCAATCACATGGCGGCAACTCAGTGCATTTAGGCA